ACGACAACAATGTAAAGTCTTTCTCAAAGCCCCTCAGTGGCACAGCGGTATGTCTGCGGACTTACAACGCTAGAATTCGGGTTTCGATACCCGTGGTGGGCAGAGCACAGATGGCCCATTGTGTAGCTTTGTGCTTAATTACAAACAAACGAACACATCTTTCTCAAAATTTGTAGGGAAATAAGACTACCGGGAAACAAAGCTCTCTATATAAATTAGATAGAAAAAGCAATACATAGGGAATCAATAGGACAGTATAAAACGAGAAAGCCACTGGTAACATTTGTAAATAAAGTCCATTATACCTCCTGCTAAATAGCCAGTCTTCATATGAATGAGCCAGGTGGTTAGGGCGCTCTACTCGCAATCTGCGGGCCGCGGGTTCGAATCCCCGTCACACCAAACATGCTCGCCCTTTCAGCCGTAGGGGCGTTATAAAGTGACGGTCAATCACACTATTCGTTGGTAAAGAGCAGCCCAAGAGTTGGCGGTGGGTGGTGATGACTCGCTGCCTTCCCTCTAGTCTTACAGTGCTAAATTAGGGAATGCTAGCGCAGATAGCCCTCGTGTAGCTTTGCGCGAAATCCATAACAAACAAACCATATGAATGGTCAGTATCTGTTGGCTTAACATCTGAGATCATCACCTAGTATTTAACTCAACAACATATCTAACGTTAGACCTAATACATAAATAAACGATGTCTAAAGAAAAAATTCTAGTACTTGATGGTTTCCTGTCTCTAATACTCCAATGAAAACACAAACTCAAAATTTATAGCACTAAACTAAGTGATTTGTTGACAGCAACATAAAAAACTGACTAAATCATGTAGTGGTTGGTCATTAACTAACTCGTATACTCATCTAATAAAAAAACCAGTCATATACAAACTCACAAATCGAAGCATCTACTATAGCTTAACTCGTACTTTAAACTGTTCAACTCGTTTCCTACACTTTCAAGAAGGTTCTAGTCATAAAACCGCATCTAACATAAAAACTTACTATTTTAAAACAACAACACGTGTCTAAATAAAAAACGTAGCTTACAACATGCCTCTACCTTGATTCTGAAGTCCTTTGATCAATCCTATTACACAAGTAAAATAAACTTCAACTTTTATAATTAACATAAAGTAAATTGATAATTAGTAATATTAATATTTATGAATACAACAGTAAATGTGTTAAACAAAGTATAATCAAAATTTTGAATAGCAAACAAAATCTTTTCTTCTTTTTTTTCGTTACTCATTCGTTGTCCGGTTTCCAACATTTTGGGCGATTTTCTTTTTTTTCCCGTAGATCTATGGCATGAATATTGAATGACTTCTTTCCACTACCATCACTTGACATATGTTTATTGGAAGCGAGTTCTATTAAGGTAGATGGTCGTAGTAAGGTAAAATAGTTAATGTTAAGTAATGATTGTTAATAAGCTCACGATCACTGCTTCTGGAAGTGGTGCTTCACATGCCCATGTTATATAACTGCTAATTGATCATAACCTTTGTCTAAATAATTTTTTTTTTTTAGATTTAAACTTTATTATCAACGCACAGCTCACTCAAAACACCATTTGAAGGAATTTTCTAAATTATTAAAAAATTTTAATTTACTTTGGTGAACATACAGGCGACTCAAGAAACATAGTTTTATCATTTTAAACTTCAAGATGCTTCTGGGATAAGTAGAGAGAGGTGTGCGTGCGTAATGACTGAAATGGTCATGAATTTCAGGTGTTCTGCACTTAATATGACATCCTTGTTAGCTGAATGTCGAAAGGTCGTAAACATGTACTCATCTTTTTTTTACTCAGGTAAAGCTTATATATCTCAACACTAAAGATCTGTGTCACTTTAGCTGACTCCACTGGGGAGAGGTGGACACAATTTAATTGGCGGAACTCATATTTGTACAAGTTGTGAATAAAGTTTCATTTTACTTGTTCACGTTCGTTTCTGTTTCCTTTGCTGTCCATGTACCATTTTTTCTCTCCGTGTGTAACATTTCTACGTTTTGTTGATTCTTTTAAACTTACCTGCTGGATATCAGTGTACCCGAATACTACAAATACGCAAGTACAAGCATGTATATATGTATGTTTATACACACACACACACATATACCTACATGTAAGTAACTGTCAAGCTTTAGAGTGGAGTTTAGACACGTTTATAAGTAGATTAAATTGCCACCATGAAACACATATTTTAGACTTTTGGAGAATGTGCATCCAAAGGTTAGTGATGCACTTCTGGTCTGTCTCTGTAATAGATAACGTGCTTTATCGTTTGAATAAAGTTGGGCGGTGAATCAGACGGTCGAAGGTTCGAGACGTGATAGTGCCGGGAGTCCTTTATTAAAGCTACAGTCAGTCTCATTGTTTTATTAAAATCTAGTCAAAGTCCTTGAGGTGGTGAATACTGCTGACTAACTGCCATCCATTTGACCAGTAATTCAAAGTATATTTCAATGGTAATTAGTGACAATAGATAGCTACAATCAGAAGTCAGGGACTACTTTTCTAAAAAAAAAAAAATCTAAACTACTTGAAAGAATTATATATATAAGCGAGATACTAGGAAACAATTGAGTTTGGTGAAAGTAGATTAAAAAATAAAGGACTGCCAGAGTAAGCGGGATGGTTTGTGAAATTTTTAAATTTGAAAGGAAAAAAAGAGAGCCTCAGTGGTTTGTGTATGGTTGTAGTTTAGGACAACATGTATCAGCCTGAAATAGCCACTCTGAATGTTTATGGTTTATTAATTAAAGATATTTTATTGTCGCTTTTTGTCACTTCTTGCCGCCCTTAGGGAGAAGAAAGAGAGAGTAACTGTAAAAGTACCGAGGCGGGATGGTTTCCGACCGTCCTGGAAGGAAGTAGGATGGCAACTGCCTCATCCCATCCCACTTCGAGCACTGCCACTATCCATTTATCTGTAGTTATTTTGATGATAACAATTTCTAAATAAATAATTAATCATTAAGGGTGCTCGAAAATTAAGCAATCTTTCATCACCACGCTCGAGATATTGGTGAATTTAGATACTATGGATTAATTATCTTAAGAGGCCGATTGTGAAGAATTAAGGTTTTAACTAAAAGGTAAGAAAAATCTGAACGAGGCGTGAAGGCAGCAAGGCAAGTCTCGGACACCCAGTGGTGAGAGAGGAAAGAAGTCAACTCAGACAAATTATCATAACTTGTTAGGGCCTGGCAGTGATCAATAAATGACTAATAACTTTTTGTAACACAGTTTTATAGGTTGATTTTCTATTACTTGTAAACTCAGCCTCACTAAATCAAGGCACATGTTTCTACCCCCTCCCTCTCCTCATTTTAATGATCACTTCGACATTGAATTTTAATAAAATTTTAATTAATATAGGTCCTTAGCCTTTTACACTTATGTCATTTTAACAACCAGCCGCGAGCGGGGTGAAGAGAAAAAAAGTTTCTGACCACCTCTTGTTATCTTCCAGGTCCCTTCGGGACCTGAAAGATTTTAAAAGCCAAAGTACCTTTCAACTAATTTTATTTGACATTCCCACGGTGTTCTTGAACTCAACTGACGAAAGAGATAAACACGCCGTCGTCAGTATATCCCCAGGAGACTGTGGCAAGAAAGTTGACTTCACCCTGTGGACTTGTAAGACAAGAAGTATACGACTTTATCATTGGGGTTGCCGATTGCCTGATGTTCTTTAAACGCCCCCTAGTAGCACAGCAGTATGTCTGCGGACTTACAACGCTAGAAACCTGGTTTCCATACCCGTGATGGGCAGAACACAAATTGCCCAATGTGTAACTTTGTGCTTAATTACAAAAAAAACAAAAAACAAATGTTCTTTAATCCAACACTAAGACCGTCCTATCAGCTGCCTCTCCTTAATATAAAAATAGCAAATTTATAATCACGAAACTAAAGTATAAACTATATAAAATATTCACGAACAGAACATTTTAAATTGACTTTTTTTAGAAGTTCTAATTACTAAAATACGTTGACACATTATAAAATCGGTAATAATGATTATGATGTTTCTTTGTTTGTTTGTGGTCAAGCAAGAAGTTAAACAATGGACTATCTGTGCTCTGTCCATCACGGGATCGAAACCCAATTTTTCAGCGTTATAACAATATATCTCCCACACTATACATGCTATATCTAGTGCCGGCGAGGCCCTAGATACCATTGCTCATCAGGTCGGCTTGGACAATAATAATGACAATGCTTATCCATTTATTACCTAAACCTTACCTTAAATTCAATGTTGATAGTTATCTGAAACAGTGAAACATTTACTATGCCACATTAATCATTTCAAGAAGATAACACCGTCAATATTTCCATTCTTGATAGATATTCTTATCATAAGGGCTAAACACATTTTTATAATGTTATTTTCTCCAACAAAATGTTCTCAACTTCTGATTTTCAATAATTATGATCAGTGTTTGGTAGATTAACGTAAAATGACAGAAATACGGCTATCGCAAACAAATATTGAATAAAATATATTACAATTTTGCTATAACTTGTCATGTTTTTTCTTGAAGGTCTTATGATAGCATCAAAAGCTACATGAATAGTTTGTTTATTTTACATCTGATTTCAATACGCTTCACCTTGTCACCTATATCTTACTACTATACTGTAACCTGAAAGTGCGTTCAACTGTGGAAAAACTCAACATCTAAGTGTAGAATCTAACAGGTCAGAGGTCATTTGCCTTCAACCCCGAATATCAACCTTTGGGTGAGAACGGTCCAACCGACTACGGCCCAGTGAGTTATTACCTTTGTATTCCCTAACAAGTAGACATATCCCATCATTTTCGTCTCAGCTGTGATCACGTCTTTACTCTTACATGGTGATGGGGCTTTTTCTATATTATTGGCTGTTTTAAGATCGGTTGTAATAAAAGTCACTTGTGCTACTGTTTCTGAAGTGTTCTGTCGTGTTTAACTGTTAGTCATTCTACAATATTCACGATGGCGACCACTGACTTTACAGAAAACAAGATTCTTCGTTCACCTCGAGCTCCTATTAATGTACCTAATATCTCTCTGTCGCAGTTTCTCACGTTATCATTGGAGAAATACGGAGATAAGCCTATAATGGTGGGTTGTTTTTTCCTTTTCATTTGTAAACAGCACAAAAATTATGAGAAAATATAATGAATTATTTACCCCCAAACACCATGCGCTATTTTAACGCGCCCACGGTCCCATAATGTAGAGCATCATTGTTTTGAAAGCACCGACCGCTGGGATCACGAGTCGGCCTAATCTATTAAACTTGCAGGTATCATAAATGACCATCAACTTTCTAAGATATTGATTACTATTCACCTAATGCTTACGCGATATGACACACTTTAAAGCGCAGCATTGACAGCAAAGTTTTTATTTTTAAGATATAATGTGTGTTTTTATAGCCATAAGTGGATCGAATAAGTGATAACACTTACTCATGAATAGTTTTCAATGTTTTAGTGAGAAGAACGTTCCTAAAAGTAACACTTGAAATAACTGAAACATTGCAACACTTGAAGAATGTTCGATGTTTTAGTGAGAAGAACGTTCCCAAAAGTAACATTTAAAATATCTGAAGCTTTGCTACACTTGAATAGTATTTGATGTTTTAGTGAGAAGAACGTTCCTAAAAGTAACACTTGAAATATCTGAAGCTTTGCTACACTTGAATAGTGTTCGATGTTTTAGTGCAAAAACGTTCCTAAAAGTAACATTTAAGATATCTGAAGTTTTGCTACACTTGAATAGTGTTCGATGTTTTAGTGAGAAGAACATTCTTAAAAGTAACATTTAACATATTTGAAGCATTGCAACACTTGAATAGTGTTCGATGTTTTAGTGAGAAGAACGTTCCTAAAAGTAACATTTAAAATATCTGAAGTTTTGCTACACTTGAATAGTGTTCGGTGTTTTCGTGAGAAGAACATTCTTAAAAGTAATATTTAAAATATCTGAAGTTTTGCTACACTTGAATAGTGTTCGATGTTTTCGTGAGAAGAACGTTCCTAAAAGAATATTTAAAATATCTGAAGCTTTGCTACACTTGAATAGTGTCCGATGTTTTAGTGAGAAGAACGTTCCAAAAAAGTAACATTTAAAATATCTGAAGCTTTGCTACACTTGAATAGTGTCCGATGTTTTAGTGAGAAGAACGTTCCAAAAAAGTAACTTTTTAAAATATCTGAAGCTTTGCTACACTTGAATAGTGTCCGATGTTTTAGTGAGAAGAACGTTCCAAAAAGTAATTTTTAAAATATCTGAAGCTTTGCTACACTTCACCAATGTTATTGGTGGTCCAGTTATTCTCAAATGTATTTCATGCAATGTTCGTTCTTTGCTTTCGCCAGCGTGTACTCAAAATCAGGTGTAAACCATTATAAGATCTTGCTTAAGATACAAAAAAGTAATGAAAGCAACAAAATCTGACTATGTTCGTAACAACAATAGTGCATATGTAGTAATGCAGCATACTTAGTCTTACTAACATTAATCCATGGTTGACGTAACATGGCTCGTTTCATTGTGAAGTGACTTGTCTCTCAAGGTGTTGCTCACTGGTCATAAATACTTATACTGAATGTGGTTAATAATTTCATTGTTAATTTTTATAGGCTTGGTTAGTATAATTGTTTATTCTTCTTTTCTCTCTGGCAATATTATTGATTTGGTAAGAACATTCTCTAGTGATTATCATAATGTACTCTGAAACATACGAAATACGCTCCTTTTCAGGTATAAGTATACGAAACTAATATTTGAAATTGGAAATGATAAAACATCTAATTATTCTCCAGCTAGGCCTAACGTGCACTAGTAGTTAATATGCTCGCAGTGTGAATCCGAAGTTTCATGGCTTGCGGTTCTTTGCTGTAAATACATGTTCCTCACTTTGGGGCCATTGGTATGCTATATGAGTTTCGGTCATATCCCCCTTTTTTTGTCAGACACAGGCCCTCTCAAAGGTTCAGAGAGGCCCAAGCCACTTCTATCTTTTGAGGCCCCTGGTTATAATAAAAGAAATGATGACACGTGAAAACAAAATAAGACAATCATTAGCCCAAAAGAAAAGTAAAACATAATTTGAATATTCTGTATTTAACATATATATTTATTAACATTAGTAAATGCTTTTCTAGCTTTTATCTGTGTATAAAAACGAGTCACAAATTTTAACAAGTGCAAAAAAAACGTCTAAATTTGAGGCCACCTTTGAGCTTGAGGCCTGGGCCAAATGGCCCTCCTGGCCAAGATATACAACGAAAGCCTTTCGTGTAGCTATTTTTCACTTTTTTAAAAATTATTTCTCATAACTAAAACTTAGATTAATTGGAAATTCATATTATACCTCTTTTACAGATCTCACCCGACAAGTCTCTTTCCTACACTGCCAATGATATTCTTCTGCGTAGCAGGCGTTTCGCCAGTGCCCTCATACGGCGAGGTCTCAAACCTGGAGATGTGTTTTGTATTTGCACATCTAATAACGTCCACTTTGCCTCGGTAATGTTAGGTGCAATCAGTGCTGGAGCAGTTATTACTCTGGGAAAACCCACGGACAAATCAGGTGAATAATTGTATTGAAACTCTAGAAATGTTGTAGGTAAATAGGTGTGAAGTATAGAGAAAATTCTACTGATGTAAATTATTTCTAAAATCGAGTAAAGACAAGTAAATAAAAATAGTAATATACACTGAGTGGTCACAAGTAAATAGACCCTAATTTTTCGTCATTTAACTGATTTATGCTAACTAATTTGTGTTCACAGAGCACTATATAAATGAAAATGGTCAGCACACTAATTATCTTGTGCTGCAACATGCCTAGAACTCAAGGTTCTCTCGAACTGTCAGATTTTGTTAGAGGAAGGATAGTTGGTCAAGCAGATGGTGGAATAAGTCAGCGGCAAATTTTGCAGAACTTGGGAATCCCACTTTCGACAGTCAACAGAATCATCGTGTAGTTCAGGAAACACGGCAAGGAAACAAATGAGCAGCGTTCCGGGTTGTCCTGGTCCATCGGAGAGGA